TTTGTGCTATACCATTCGATGTTGATGCTGCTTTGGTCTCGAAGTAGAATTGAAATTAGGTACCCCATCAAAGTGAAGAAATTAGCGATCAAAATTTTCCCTGCGCTCCTCGATCGATTCGAAAATTTTTGTATCATATCACTGCATCAATCCACACGAGCCTGCTTCTGAGTCTTCGGTGAGGTTGTGCGGCACCCAGCGGGAAACTATCCTCCTTACGCAAAGGTGCGTGCAAAATCCTGTGAACACGTCCTGGACCAATCTGCAGAGTATGCTGAATGTATTCGTATGTAATTCGTATGTTTTCTTGAATTAAAATTTTTACTGCCAGCACATTTTCTCCGTTGACAGCTTTCGTAGGAAGACCACTCTTTAGTTCATCCCCTAAAGTAAGACGACCGCGTTTGAACTGCTACACCAGCGTTAGATGGTTGCTTTTGAAGGTCCTTCATCGCTTCATCCATAAAAGCAGTTTGAAATCGATCAAATGACTCATCAGGTTTTAAGCCACATTTATAATCGTAAAAAATCATAGCATGAAAATGTTCTCGGTGCAGATACATTTTTTAATGAGACAAAAAAAAATAATTGGCGCTTGAAAAATGCGGAGGGAAATTGGAAATAGAACAATGGTATTTTTACTTTTAAATAATTGAAGTTCTCAAAATAATTACAAGTGGCCAGTGTCTTATACATAAAAAGTTTTTTTCGCATAATTTCTGAGTGGCCTGGTATGTTGCTCGTGAAATGTTGAAAATAGTTTAAAAAAAACTAAAAACACGCTTTTATTTACTGCACTAAAAAGCCTTTTTGGCTAAAACAAAAAATACTTAGTCTCCGTTTACTTTATAAGGGCCTTAGAGTTAGCCATGTTTATAGTTTATTTTAACATATATATATATATATATAATGGAAAAAGAAGCGTGTAATTCAGAAGTCGACTTTTTTTTTATATGCTGGCAAAAAATACTATTTACAGACGACGGCGCCTTTAAGAGGTACACCGCCGAACGGACCTCACACCTGGCTCCCGTAAGCCTTACGAGCCCCAGCAGTGGCTGCCCACTGAGGACCCCGTAAACCTTACGGGCGCTTTACGGCATCATATCCGCTAAAAAACCCTGCGAACACCCTCTAAGCTGCTTAGCGAATTCAGAAGTCGACCTAATAAAAGCGTGTTAAAAAAGGTTTACTTTTTAATCAGATCAGTTGAAGCTTATATCAACTGATAAAATGCCTCGTTCCAGGTATAATATTTATTATATAATGTACCTACATCGCAGTCTGTTCAGGTATTTAGAAGATATGGTGGAAAAAAGAAAATAATATAAGTAAATTACGCGAATCCTGAAAACATTACACTCCTTTGGCAGTGGTGAAGGAAGGGCGAGTATAACAACCGCATATTACACGCTTTTATTTGGAAAGTTGAAATGAACACGGCTCATTTCTATTCCAATATACGAAAGGAAGTTATTTTCAAACATTTTGTTGTTTGATTATCAACAAAGAATAAAAGTTTGATATATAAAAGTAATATTTTCGTTATTTGTATGTTAAGCCCTCGTGATTTTTTTTATTATAACAAAAAAGTAAATTAAATACCATAATAAAAAAGGGCATGTCTACCACAAACGCAGTACTCATCCAGGCCCTTATCCTATAGCTATGTACCAATACAGGTTTTTAATTTGGTTGGAAAGGTAGAATTTACGAGTCCGAGTGCGCACCCTGTAAAAGTTTCCTGCTTCGGTGATAAATTCGGCGAGTGCCAGAAGGCCGTTGGCACTGCCATGTAATAAACACGTGTGCAGCCCAGACCAGACCAGAGGGTATTCAGATAAACATTTGCATGAACGGTGCAAGTTGCGAGACTGAATTCAATTTAATATCTGTTATTATTATTAGGTAATATCTGTTGTTATTTTAGAAAATAATCATGGCATGCATTGTGTAAGCACATGAGAAAGAAATTACTCGTGTACTCATGTATGTAAGAATTAATAAATTTATTTTTATATTTTTAAGCATTTAACTGCGAGACGTTGCCTTGCAGCCTAAGAAATGTTATATGAAATTTGACACGGTCATTTTAAGATCTCGGTTAGTACATCCGCTCGGATCGCTGAAGATGCGGGTTCAAATCCCGTCTAAAACCTGGACCTAGTGGAATTCTTTCTAGTAATACTTTCTTTAGATTATAAATTAAGTTTACTTTATTCAAGAATAAAATTGTAGGTATATAGATCAAAGATTTTACTGATTTAATGAAATCAGCTTGACTTTGAATGAAAATACCTGGGTTCATTAAAATATACGTATGTAATAGCATAAACGGTATAGGCGCGTAATAATATTTTTCTCTTATTTAATGAACCTTAGTATGATTTTGAACTAAAGAGTGTATCTATATACACTAATGTATGTAGATTCTTGCTTAAAATACACAAAAGAATTTAAAGTAGACAAAGAAAACAAAAGATTTTCTTGAACTTAGTTTTCACTACGGCATTAATAGCCATGAAAAGTTAATAACAGCAATTTCCTTACCATTACTCAGCAATAACGGATATTTGTATGCTGTTAAATGGAACTTAAGGAATTAGTACCTACAGTTATATTTCGAACACGCTTTGTAAGCTGTAAACTTGATTGAGTATTATGTAGAAGTTTTAGTATCTGTATAGAAGGCAAAAGGACCAAAAAGTCAAGTTGAACAATAACTTCCTGTGATGACTTTGTCTGCATAAAATAGATTGGTATTTAATTTTCAAGAAAATTATTTAAAATATGTCGTGTAAAAGTATTAAGTAAGGCTTAATTGATTTGTTGGAAAGATATCCTGTGTTTATATGTGTGTGCTTTGCCAACAGATTTCTATGAGAAGAGCCAAACTGGTGTACATAATACGGTGATCAACTTCAAATAGGTTTTCTTTTGCAGTAAAAGAAATAGTGAAAGTAATATTCTCTCTTCGTTTACACCATACTGCTTTCGATATAGTGTCGATACATTTGGCGAACTGCATCCGTGATTTACTTTATAAGCCTACCAGGCTTGCACCTCCCACTAAAAGTGTAGGATGCACATTTTGGGATGGGTGCTGTAATTTATATGTCGGTGTGGTTTTATCGATATAATAGCTATTTTATATGCATTTTAATTTTATTTTGAAAGTTTTATAGGCAAGTTTAACAATATTACCCACAGTGCAAATCTAAACAGCACGTTTTAGAGTAACGTTTAGGTTAAAAATATGTTATAATTTTTCTAATATTGTAATGTGCCGTCACGCTTCTTTATTCAGGTAAAACTCACAATAAACCGACTCAGATATAATACTTTACTTGTTAATACCACAAGTGAAATTCTTTGTGTAAAATGTAATTAAAACACAACGACTTTAAACATCACGGCATGCATTTACATTTAATTACAATTTACTTTAAGCACTGGCAAATAAAAGTCAATAATCACGAATGACACTAATTATTTCACGCACAGTACAGGCGAACGAATTATTTAGAATTTGCATTTCATGTGATTTAAAAGATAACATAAGTACTTCACTTATATATAAATAACCGTTACTGTAATTTAAATAAAACATTTTTATGCCAAATTTCAGCACCGTTCGTCTCAGTCGGAAGTAATACGTCCGGGACCTGGAAGTTAATAGCCTGATATAACTTATACTGTCCCAGACGGCTTATATCCTAGGTCTAGACGGAGTGTAAATCAAGTCGACATTTTAAAAGTAACAATGTAATGAATGCATTTCATTTTAATGGGTTTTCGGCGCCATTTAGTATGTAAAATATGTCTTTTGGTTCGTGTAATAATAAATATGTAATGTCATCATTAGCCTCTTAATGTTCCCACCGCCGGGGAACAGGACTTCCCTATGAATAGAATAGAGAGAATGTACTACCACTACGCGGGCCCACTGCAGATTGGTGGGTGCTAACGACTGTTACTGCAGCATTTGATTGGATCTAAGTGTTATGCTGAAAACATATAAGGTTTCTGGCTCATTGTTTAATAAATATATGTTTTTACAAATTGAGCAAGGAAGTAAGTAGCTGGCGAATATAGTGTTTTCATCCGGCACTTTATCTAACACTAGTGTCTCTCCCAAACAATATAGCGTTCAGCAAAACCGTCTCTTGGATTAAACTATTCAAATTGAATAAAGAAATAATTCTGCAGGCATATAGAAATTACTGAAACATAAAACAATAAAATGTTCAATAGGTACTATCGACAGTGGGTTCGAGCGAGCTGATTAGTTTAAACGGGTCACGAATATTTAGCATCGTAGAGAAGTAGCAAGATATATGAAAGAAACATATACAGCTCCGTCACAGAGTAAGCACTGTTTCCATTGTGTGTTGGTAAATTTATCACCAATTAAAGTAATAATCTACAAATAGATAAAAATATTGCATGATCGCCATTATATGGATTGAGAGAATTCTTTCAGAACGAATAAAACTTAAGATACCTTGGCTTGCCAACAAATTTGCGAATCGTGTTGGTATGATTCCAGCACAATATTACGAAGATATTGCATCGATGGCGTGCATTACATACCAGACCCTGAATTTACGACACTTTATACGGGGGCAAGGAATGAGAATCATTTTAGAAACGACTTTAAAAAATGTACTTATTATGTAACAGTGATATGTTCACTTTTAAATCAAATATATAAATATTTATTGCATTACTTCATGGTCATCAACATATTAATATACATACTCATTGCGGGGGCACAGGCCTTCTATTAAAGAGGAATTATGGCTATAAATAACACGCCACGCAGGCCTAGTGCGGACAGAGGTGGGTGTTGATGACTGCAGATGCAGCCAGAACCAACAGCTTGATGTGCCTTACGAAGCAAGGAGAACCATGAGATGATAAGTTTTTAGCCACCCATCATATTACATATATATCAATCCGATATAATTTTGTACATAGTAACAATCTAAAATACCTACTTGTTTTTAAGCCACAAAGACGGGTTTCCAGAAACTCGCGACCTGGCAACAAAAAACACGTATATTCATACAAAACATTTTCGAAAGAACATGTTCAAATTTTTAACATAAAATAATAACAGATAAAACATTTAAAACTTTACATATAAGGCCAAGTTACCGTACAAAATGACATTACCAAAGTTCGTCAGAAAAAGGAGAAAAAATAGATTACGGTTGGACCTCGTGCCAGTTGTCACGGACAATCTGGAAGTCGTCATTTATGTTATGCAATATAAAACTGAAAATTCTTATGATTTTATATTGCATGACAGATAGGTATACATATAAAAGAACCTTTCGAACTTTAATTTCATTACCTCAGATTATACTTTTAGCTCAGTTAATTATAACATTTTATTCTGATAGCTGTTATATAACTTGCAAATACAATAAAGTATTCAGATACAATCAACAAAATTAACTTTTCCCGATGTCAGTCTTCAGTTTCAATTAACCTTTTTTATGCGGCATAGTCCTACTAATATTATAAATGTGCAAGTTTGTATGTTTGTGTGTCTGTATGTTTGTTACTTAATCACGCAAAAACTTCAGATCGGATTTGGTTTGGTACGCATATAGTTTTTGACCTAGATTGAGACATAGGCTACTTTTAATCCAGGAAAATTTCAGTTTCCCGAGGGATTTGCAAAAAACTAAGTTAACGCGGATGAAGTCGGGGGCGGCCGCTAGTATAAAGTAAACTAAAGTGAACTTGTAAATCAGCTAACTTTCCTTGTTAATGTATTCTTAAGTAAGACCGTATAATACGCGGTACAGAGTGTAAATATTTCTTTGACCGCGATTGTACCGCACAGTTCACACCACCGCACAGGCAGTTATTCTCGAAACGATATTATACTAAAATCACCTCCGACCCCCGTAGTCCACTTTCAAAAGTTCTTGCGAGGTAAAAAATGTTCGTTATTCTGTATTAATACATTAAAGTTTGACTCGGCGCGTATTAAAGTCGAAGTTCAAGCCTGCGTGTCTGACCCACTTCGGTCCGAACTCGTAATAGGGAATGTTCGCAACACAACCAACACATCCAGTCACGTATTTCCTATAGAAGTTGTATGTGACGTTTGTTCATTGTTACAACTCGTATTATTATTTTTGTTACAGTTTCTATCACTGTCGATGTGCTTGTTGCTTTTAAGGGTTACATACCCAAAGAGTGAAAACGGAACCCTATTGCTGTCTTTTAGTCGTCTGTCTGTATGTCACGGGTGTCTATATCGTAAATGTAATGAGTAACAAAAATTTAATTATTTTTCATAGAGGATTTTCTATATCTAGATGGTATCTTCTACATCTAGCTTCCCCATAAACGAAAAGGAAAGGATTTTTTCTTTGTACCTGAGTATATGACACATCGTCGTTTAGAGTTCGTTGAGTACCCTTATCTGACCCCTAGAGCACTACGCGGGCCATCAAAGGTATTAGAGACTAATAACATAAAATGTGCATAAAACTAAAACTACAAATACTACAATAGTATTCTATTCGTTCGTTGCGGAGTTCTAATTAGCTTCAAGTTAAAAGCATTGGAAAGAACCTTAAGCAACGGCTCGAATGATTATTAAGCTCCATTACCGACATTAGATACGCATAGTAATGCATTGCTTTTCGCCTGCGCGAGTCATATCTTATATATACAGCAAAATAGCAAAGGTATAAAAACCATTATTTATTCCAAGAAAAGTATGAGTACCTATTCATTTAAAAGTTTTAATACTCGAAAAAGAGAGTATGGATTTATTTTTATATTATGGTAATGTTTATATCTCGGTTGCAATTAAATAATCCTCTTATATTTTCTTCAGAACTTTCATATTTTTCTGCATCAGTAAAAAAGAGTCTAGGTGTCTGATAAATCGTTAAGAATTTTAATAACATTGTTGTGCCGGATAGCGCACCTTTTATATCACTATGTTTTGTCTATGAGTTTTTGATACTTTTTTTTATTGAGATTGTTATTCTTTGACATTCAAATAGATTGTTTTACCTTGTCACTGCCACCACTGTTTTATTTTCTCTAATAATAATTAAAATACAGTCCTTATCCTCCACAATTGTGTTAGAAACCAGAGATGTGATAATGTATGAGATATTAAAATTGTCACAAATGTATAATAATAGCGGAAAGTGGTGTTGGAGAGATTTATATTGGGTATTAGGTCCTCACATATACCCGAGGCAGATTCGGGTTTCAGCCAGTGATAGATGTAGAAGCTAAGGGCGGGGAAGAAAATGAGTAGAGGAAAGTTGAGAAATGCAGGAAGGAAGAAAAAGTATCAAAGGGAAGAGAGGGAGGTAGAGAGAAAGAGGACAGGGGTAAAATTAAAACTCGCTAAGTGCGTGTCGGGTCGCGCACAATGTAGGGTTTCGTAGATGCCTATCACAAAACGCAAATAGCAAAGTTATAGAGCACATGGTTCTAGGAAGTTTTGAAATTTTGAATTGCACCTTAGCGCCTGGATCATCTTTATATATATAATTCTTCTGTGAGTGTGTATGTCACTGAACTTCTCTTAAACGACTGGACCGATTTTGATGAAATTTTTTGTGTGTGTTCAAGGGGATCTGAGAATGGTTTAGATTCATAATTTTGTCCGCTGGACAACCCCTATTTTTTTAGGGCGGTACGAAGTTCGCTGGGTCAGCTAGTAATTTTATAATTTCGATTATTCTTTCCAAAACTACCGTCCACCTCTTTCTTTCGCGGTCTATTTCAGTTTGATTTACCAAGTCTACTGTTTGCCCTTTCAATAAGTAATTTTTTAGATCCAAAAATTTTAGCAGTGTCTCCAATACTTATTCAAGCGCTGAACATCATAAAAACAAGAACATTATAAGCACTAATAAAAAAAATATTTATCACACTTGCCTCTATCAGAAATTTGCCTAATATTTCACAAATATTTTGATATCACATAATCAGAAAAACTCTCATTATTTTCAAAGACTTATTCAACGACCTCCGCCTTGGCGTAGACGAGAAAAATTATTAGATTAAAATTAACACCTAATTCAAGGGAACCATAACATTGTTTTGTCATGATTTAATACTACCACTTTGTCGGTGTGACTTATATGTATCATATACTATATAAAGTACAAATTACAGCTTTTTAGTACCAAGACTCTCTGAGTTAGCCGCGGGTGGACGGCCGGACGGACAGACGCAGCGAAACTATCAAGGGTCTAGGAACTCTAAAAATGAATTACCAATATAGAGAACCGTGTTATTTAGGACGCCATCAGAGCCAAAGATCGACTCCTACGCTTCAAAAGTGGCTTGGCTTTACGATCTATCTAGTCTAGATCATAATACCTACGTTTTTGTAAAAAAAACATTCCAAAGTTTAAAACACAGGTATTTTAAAACAGCTAAATGGCTCCTTTTACTAGAAAGCGTTTAGCATTAATATTAATTTTAAGAAGAGAAAGTTAACAAGTGAATATGCAAAGCTTATTGTAACGTTGTCTTTGGGGTAAAAATTAAAATACAAAAAAAAAAGCTGAAGCCAATCATTAAAAAACTCGACCAAGTGAGTATCGGTCTTCGCAGATTTACCCTGACAAAACTGATTAATGAATATGCATTTTGGTATTTGTCAGTAAAATGTACGTTATAATTAAAATTATCACTAAATTTCAAGTTCGCAGATCAGTGAACTACAATAAGAACCATACCCAACTTAATTAGATAGGTAAAAATATTTATTTCACGGCCATAACGGAGCCCGCTGACGGAGTACATTGGAGGTTTTAGCTAAAGAGTTTCGAAGTCCCTCTTTGGATTAGGAATCCTAAAAAGAATGTTCCACTTAAAAGAAAAAAAAAATGGATCTGGGCTGAAAGCGAAAGGCAGAATACGCCATTTGGTAAGTTTTTTGTGATTATTATATAAACCTATCAACGGCTGGGGCATATTCAGAAAATGTTATGGCTGGCAAACTCCCCATTGTTGTAATTAATTGGACAAAACCTAAGGATATTCATTATAGAGCAGGGATGGGCAGGGCAAATTTTTTCCTTATCATGCCAATATTTACTATCAGAACCTATAGCGGGCCAAGATTTGCTATAAAGGCTTTTTTATTACCACTTAATATCCTGTCCCGGTCTGAACATGTGAAAAAAAATCTTTTTGGTGAGAATCTTTGATTTTTGTTTGATTGTCATGGGCCGGAGATGGCCCGTAGTTTGCCCATCCCTTGATCCCTGTTCTAGAGTATGATAAGGATATACTTCTGTCAAATTTACAAATAGCAAAGGCAAAGTGCATCAGTCACAATCCAATGCCCAAATGGTCTCTAGCGATAAGGCATGGCTACGGAGGGGATGTTTATATAAGTAGACCAGTAAGCTCTGTAACAAAACAATGTTTATTTATGGAATTATTAAAACTGTACAGTTATTTTCACTAAAACCTACGCTAGGAATAAAGGTGATCACAATTTGGGTAATAAATAAAGCGCTGTTTCTAGTCTTTTAGGTATATACTTAGTTTAAGCATAGTTGCATATGCCTTTAACCTTTCAGGGCTATAATGATACGGTACAAAGCCAACTTATCTACTGAGTCACTGCTTGCTTAATATTTCTCTAACCGCTCGATAAACTTCCGATTTTCCTCAGTTTAGGATCAAGGAGAAGAAAAATATAACATTTTACGAGAAAACGCCTAGTCATAAAACATTTAGGGGTGAATTTAACGATACCTCGCCTTGCGTAAAACTGATATATATTCTTTATAAAGCTACTGAAATATTAATTATAATGAGAGCAAGTTTAGAGGCCTATACTTAAAATGAATATTTTATACCAAATACTTACTCTTACTATCATAAATATGTAGTAGTTTACTATATATTAAAATAATAGTTACTTCAGTAAGTCGCTCAGATTCTCTCGCTTGCTCATGTAATATAATATTGTTTTTTACGGGTCTCCGATATTTCCGTACTTTTAAAAGCAGTATAATAAAAAAATAATAGTTTAAAAAACTAAAAAACACGCTTTTATTTACTGCACTAAAAAGCCAAAAATAAACAAAATACCCTCTCTGTTTACTTAATTAGGACCTTAATGTAGTATGTTTATAGTTTATTTTAACATACATAACTGAAAA